AAAAACAAGAACAAAGGAAAAACGTCACGGACTAAGTTCAACTAAACATTCCGCCCGCCTTGGGACGATTCGGTTGGACGATCGCCCAAAACTCCTGGTTCAGCTCAAGTTTAGGTCTTCTCAAAATCATTTTCCAGTAGGCACAGCTTCTGAATCGGGCGTATGAACACGGAGTCTTTCGATTTGACTTTCGCTGTGCGTACCATTCCATCGGCCCCAGGGTAGGTCTCCAGGACCCGTCCAAGACTCCAATGCCGTCTTGGTACGTTTTCATCAACCAGTAGGACCAGAGCACTTGGTTTTAAATTGGGCAGGGCTTTGCGCCATTTTCCTGGAATTTGCAGGGTTGACAGGTATTCCCGTAGCCATCGCTTCCAAAACAGGTCTGCCAGGAATTGGACTTGCTTCCATTTCCTCCGGTAGTTGTCAGCCTTCTCGAACGCGCTTGGAGGTAGGCAGTTGGACTTTCTTTGCATCAAAAAATGCGCAGGAGTGAGCGGCTTCAAGTCGTTTGGGTCATCTGAGTTGGCAGTGAGTGATAGCCCATTCAGCACTCGTTCGACTTCTGGGTTTCAAGAACTGGTTCTGTCACTACTTGAGTTCCGACGATTGCCTTTAGAACGGTCTTGGTACTGCGCACCATCCGCTCCCAGATCCCCGACATGCTAGAAGCGGTAGGGGGCTGAAAGACCCATTTGCAACCTCTCTGCAGCAGTTCCCGATCAATCTGTTGTTGGTTCCACGACTTAATCGCTTCTCTAAGTTCCCTTTCAGCTCCGACGAAATTTGAGCCTCGGTCACATCTTAGTTCAAGTACTTCACCGCGACGGTTAATGAATCTTCGTAGACACAGTAGGAAGTCGTCCGTACTCATCGACTCAACCAATTCAAGGTAGACCGCACGAGTATTTAAGCAGGTAAACAGACAGCAACAGCGTTTAGCTGTTCCTCTTCCCTGCTTTACATATAGGGGTCCAAATAGGTCCATGCCTGAGTACGAAAATGGAGGTTGATAGGCCATCATGCGACTTTTCGGGAGAGGAGCCATTTGCTGAGTCATCGGCTTCGCTTTCAACCTCTTGCACAGGATACATCGTGCGAGGATGGATCGAGCCAAAACTCTAATCTGAGGGATCCAATACTTCTCGCGTACCTTTGCTATCAGGTGCTCGCGGCCAAGGTGGCCGATCGATTCGTGGATATGGCGGACAATCATGGCTGTTACTGGGTGATTTCGTGGCAGAATCACCTGGTTCCTAGCAGCGTCAGCGACTGGCGGTGATGTCACGCGCCCTTTGACTCTCAGAATACCGCGGTCATCAAGCACTGGATTCAGGCTGACAATGTTACTGGATGACTTAACTTCACCTCTGGCCTTCAGGTCTTTAACTTCTTGGGAATAGGCTGAACGTTGGACAAGTCTTCGCTA